ACACACACACACACACACACACACACACACACACACACACACACACACACACACGTTCCCGCACCAGCAGAAAGCAGATCATTTCACACACACACACAATGGGCGTCATCCTCTGTCGGTTTGGTGGGTCGGTTCAGAGTCCAGAACTGTTTGGTCTCAGTCTGTCCCTGCAGGCTGAGGCTGGTGGAGGCGCTCGTGCAGAATGATGGCCTCTCACAGGCCAACATCTGGGCCCTGCTGGAACATGTGTCCCTCTCTGGCTGCTCCCATGCCAAGGAGAGGGACAGTTTCATCTGAACGCCTGCAGGCTGGGTTGTTAGTCAATTTTATTTATAAAGCGCTTTTCTTCGAAATGACTTCACAAAGTGCCGTACAATACAAAAATACAAAAACCAACAATGCAACAATAAACATCACGGAGCCGTCAAATATTTCCATCTCAAAAGGCGTGTCAGCAACATTGAGCCAAATGAAAAATAAAGAAATAAAAGAGGCAACAGTAAAAGTAAAATACCAGCCCATTTACATATACATTTACAGAAAAATGCAAATAGTAATTGACCAAGGCAAGGGAAATCCAGCTACCACACAGGTACTGGGTTCAACAGCATTTAATAACATCTAGCCAAAGGCTTGTTTAAAATAGGTTTTTAATGTCATGATTTGTGTCTGTGCTAATGTTTTGTATTAGTTTTCTGTCTTGTCATCTGTCTTCTTCCTCCTGTCTGCCTKTGCTCCAGCCCCGCCCACTCACACCTGATCCTCATGTTTCTCCCCCAGGTGTTTCCTGTTTGTACTCATTAGTTTCTCCTTTTTATTCTGTTCTCTGTCTTCAGTCTTTGTCAGGTCTTTGTTCTCTGTAGTGTTGTACCTGTTATTGTCTCAAGTTAAACCTTAGTATCTTGTTTGCTGCCACGCCAGCTTTTTGATTTTGTTTAATGAAGTCATTTTGCACTTCCTTTTTTTTTGCCTAGATCTTTTCAGTTCTGCACTTGGGGTTATAGCCCTTCATAACAGAAAGATCTGACCAGACTTGAACCCTGCATGCTGAGGTAAAAAAAAAATTTTTTTGCTCCTTCTTCTGGAGGGTCTGTGATGGAGGATTTTTTTCATGGTGGCTCTGAGGCTGGATGTACTCCTCAGCAGGCCAGTATCCTGAGGATCCTGGAGAAGATGCAGTGTGAGGTGACTGGTCTGAAGGGACTCTTTTCTTCAGGGTGTTCATCAGAGCTGGCAGCTCTGGCCCTCCGGCTCTAGTTTCTGCGTGCCCTCTGGCTCTGGTTCCTGTGGGCCCTCTAGCTCTGGTTCCTGCGCGCCCTCCAGCTCTGGCCCTCCGGCTCTGGTTCCTGTAGGCCCTCCAGCTCTGGTTCCTGTTGGGTCTCCTGCTGAGCCCTGAGCTCCTGAGGTTCCTGGTTCGGCTGCTATCGCCTCCATGTCGCCTGGTTCAGCCACCGTCACCTCTTCATCTCCTCTGTTGCCTTTGGTCACCATCGCCAAGGCTCTGGCTCCCTCAACCTCCGCCGGTTCCTCATTGGCTCCTGCCTCCTCCCTTGGCTCCACTTTGGCTCCTGCCTCCATCCTTTGGCTTCACGTAGGCTCCTGCCTCCATCCTTTGGCTTCACGTCGGCTCCTGCCTCCATCCTTTGGCTCCACGTCGGCTCCTGCCTCCTCCCTTGGCTCCACGTCGGCTCCTGCCTCCTCCCTTGGCTCCACGTCGGCTCCTGCCTCCTCCCTTGGCTCCACGTCGGCTCCTTCCTCCTCCCTTAGCTCCACGTCAGCTCCTGCCTCCTCCCTCTGGCTCTGCTCAGTTCCTGGGGCCTCATTGGACATGAAGTGGGGATCTCCAGGTCATCCTCCTGACTTTGGCCTCTGCGGCGGGGAGTTTCATGGCCGTCCTCCTGAACTTTTGTTTTTGGGACGTCAGGAGCCGTCCTTTATTGGGGGGGCTATGTTATGATTGATGTCTGTGTTAATGTTTATTCTAATTTCTGTCTTGTCATCTGTCTTCTTCCTCCTGTCTGCCTTTGCTCCAGCCCCGCCCACTCACACCTGATCCTCATGTTTCTCCCCCAGGTGTTTCCTGTTTGTACTCATTAGTTTCTCCTTTTTATTCTGTTCTCTGTCTTCAGTCTTTGTCAGATCTTTGTTCTCTGTTGTGGTGTTCCTGTTATTGTCTCAAGTTAAACCTTAGTATCTTGTTTGCTGCCACGCCAGCTTTTTGGTTTTGTTTAATAAAGCCGTTTTGCACCTTTTTTTTGCCTAGATCATTTCAGTTCTGCACTTGGGGTTCTAACCAACTTAGCCATAACATTTAAGCCCTTTTTGAATAGTTCAACATCATTGATCGAACGTAACTCAAAGGGAAGGGCATTCCAGAGGCTAGGGGCTGTAAACGAAAAAGCCCGGTCACCACAGGTCCTATAGTGTGTTCGAGGAATGGCTAGTAAATTTTGATCCTGAGAACGCAGGCAGCAAACTGGATCGTATGTGGAGAGCATATCCCTAACAAAATCAGGTGCCTGGCCTCTTAAGGCTCTAAATCACATGTGTCAAACACAAGGCCGGGTAACTCCCATGTGGCCCGCCAGGGAGGGTCCCCTCCCAAAAAAATAAAAAAATAAATTTTAACTTAACATGAAATTTGTTATATCAATGGTAAAATTGAAATTTATGGTTAAATGCAACAAAATTAATTAAATAAAAATAAATAAAATAAATAAAATTCCTGTCCCTGAGCTGTTGGCTTGAAGTAACTGAGCAATTTAGTTGGATAGCACAATGTCTGAAAATAAGCTGCTTAAAGTCACCATCAAACATAACTAAATCTGCCATAATGCAGCTACTCACCAGAAACGCATCAGTGAGTAAAACATTTTTGTTTTACTTTTAAAAATATTTCTGTATTTATTACAGATTTAGTCAGTCGTACACTTAGTAGTTCTTATCAGTGTTTTAAAGAGGACATGTTAAAACACTGTTTAGTCAAAGTTAAACATGAAACATCAAAGTTCATTACAAGTGGCCCTTCGAGGGCCACCATAATGCTCATATGACCCTCAGTGAAAATGAGTTTGACTCCCCTGCTCTAAATGTAAGAACCAGGATTTTAAACGAATCCTAAAATAAACATGTAGCCAATGAAGTTCTGATAGGATTGGGGTGATATGACTAGATTTAGATGTACGAGTTAAAAGTCTAGCTGTAGAATTCTGAACAAGTTGGAGACGATGTAGCTGCTTTTGATTCAAGCACATAAACAGGCTGTTAGGCGCCAGACGGCAAGAAACGAAAGCATGTATGACCGTAAATAATGGTAATAAAGAGTCCTGTAGTCGTGGTCAGACATGAATGTCAGGGTCATTTTGGGTGGTTTTGATCTGTTCTTTTTCCAGGGTGTAATGGTTTGGATGTAAAACATAGAACCTGAATAATAATATAAACAAAAGCTGTTAATTTTCTCTCCAACATGTTGTCCATATTCATTAAAATATTTTAGTTGCTTTTTTTGAAGGATCTAAAATCTGTTATTTGTTGAGGCCCAGAACAAACCTCTCCTTAGTGATCATGATTGACTGCAGGCTTCTCTTTGCCAGCATGAAAATTATTTTATTAACAGCATTCACTGGAATAACTAACATTCAGAGCAGTGGAGAAACCTGCAATGTTGGAACCCCAAAACTCCAACCTGCCATGGCACTGCCGGGGGGGGGGGGGGGCTTCACCTGCCCTTTGTGCAAAGACAAAAGTCTTTGCCAGTGTCTCTGGCACCAAATGAAAATATATATTAATGATAATATTACGGTACAATCGCCCCTGAGAACTGGCAAAGATTAACAACTTTTGTATTGTCTGTATGAGAACTTGATAACTTGTTTCTGGGACTGATGGAGGTTTTTGTTTGAGCGTTTTTTTCCCAAATGCCAGGAAAAAAAGTGTTACTGATTTTCAGCATTTTTTAATGGGAAGACCTCCAGAACCCCTTGATAGATCAGTGCTTGTGTCATTAG